CAACAATAATAATGTAATAATGGTTTATTACATTCACTAAATAGCTTGATGAGCTAAAATACAGTGATGTTTACAGTGATAAAACTTTTACAATGATAAAATGTAATGTAAAAAGTATTAATACTATGGTCTCTACTTTACTAAAGCTAGTTCAATGTAAAAAGTCTTAAAACTATTGTCATATTTACAGATAGAATTATATTATGTTAGTTATTACTCACTATAATATATAAACCCTCATGCTTACTTACCAATATAAAGATTATATTTGCCAATTGCATATACAATTGGACTATGTTTAAAACGTTCTGTTTTACATGCAAAGTTATAGTACGTTGCCTCATTCATTCTCGTTTCTCGTTGCTTTATTTGGGAAGTTTTCTTTGGTAAGAGGTGGTTAAGTTTATGATTCGGGTTTGACATATCCTTAATAAGTTGGACACACATGTCATCGCGTCGGTCGGTTAGCGTTTTGAGGTTCGATTCCATTAGTGCTTCATGGTATTTTAGTTCCGGATAAATTATCCTTAACGCTCTTTTCTGGATTCGCTCGATATCTTCGCTTTGCTCCACTGTCAACCCGCCGTTCCAAACTTGGGCGCCATATTCCAAAACTGATCTCACTACTGCTACGTAGAAAGTCTTCAGAGCTTCTTTTGGCGCATTATAACTCTTTAGAATCTTCATAAAGTATAGTCTCTTAGCTGCCTTTTTTGTGATGTACTCAGTGTTCGTTTTCCATTTAAGGTCATCGTCAAACCAGATACCCAGTAGCTTGTACGATCTTACTTTAGTGAGAGACTGCTCCCCTAATGTAGTTGGGGGTATAACCGTTTTATTCTTACGAAAGTCGATGTGCATTTCTTTGCATTTTTTAAGAAGAGATATGATCGGAAACGTTTAAAACTTTAGACATGGTAGTGTCATCCATAAACATTGAAACAGTATCACTGTTCTCATCATCAGATGACTGAACCACTGATGGGAGATCGTTTATATGAACTATGAAGGCTAAGGGACCGATTTTACTACCTTGTGGCACCCCACCTTTAATATATGCAGGGTCGGAGAAAGTGTTTCCGACTTTTGTAACTTGCGATCTGCCTTGGAGGTATGACCCGAGCCAAGCTAGCAATGCTGGTCTAACACCTATTTTCTCGAAGTTCTGGAGTAACTTATTGTGGTCAATTAGGTCGAACGCTTTTCGAAAATCCAGGAAAATTATTCTCACCACATTCCCATGGTTCTCCATAGCCGAATACCAGTTGTGTGCAAGACAGACAAGTGCTAAGACTGCCGAAGAACCTGGCAGTCCTCCAAATTGAGCTTCTCTCACTTTTCCTTTTATATCTTCACGTACCCACTCAACCACATACGACTCTTGAACCTTGGATAGGACACTAGTGAGAGAGATTGGACGCAGATCTTCAACATTCGAACAAGGCGTAATCTTCGGAATCGCGCAAACTGTGTAAAATTTCCAAATTTGGGGAAATATTCTTGACATGAATGATTCGATGTATATATCGGCCAAAGGGATAGCAAAATATTTCGCGAACATCTTGATCAATTTCATGTATGAGTCGTAACTATAGTTAAAGTTGAATTTTTATAAGATAAACCGATCACCCCAAACCCTTCTCTAAACCTAACCCCCAACCTTTTGAGAATAAGAAAAGGGGGGGGAAATATTTTATTTTTTACACAACCCGACCCGGACTGCGTTTTACTTTCCGGACGCAGCGCCTTTACGGTATACGCTAACGGCAAACTCGGCAAAAGCTGGGCTGGCGAAAACAAATTAAGTTCTTATATTTATTCGTTATTAAAAAAAATGTATTGTCGAATAGATTTTCCTGTCCGAACAAAACATTTACTTCAACAAATTTAACACCAAATTTAACACATTTTGCCATTGTCAAAACTAGTTATGTGTTATTATGTTACCTCCGACGGGATTCGAACCCGCAATCTTCGGCTTAGAAAGCCGACGCCTTATCCGTTATGCCATGGAGGCTTTTACATTATGAAAGGGACAGTCCTGGACAATGTCAGAAAGGTTAAAGACCTTGGGATCACTGTTTCTGATGATTTAAATTGGCGTTTGCACTTTTCCAACATTACTTCAAAGGCAAACAAAGTTTTCGGTCTGATTAAACGAGTATGTAAAGATTTGAAAGATCCCGATACAAGGAAGACTTTATACTGTTCATTGGTCCTACCACAGCTTGAGCATTGCTCGCAGCTGTGGTCACCAATCCAGGTCAATCAAAAACTGCTCCTCGAAAACGTACAACGGCGTGCAACTAAGTTTATCCTAATTTATCCTAAAGACATGACATACAAAGAAAGAAAGTTTATCGGAACTTAAATTACTTCCTCTTGAGTACCGCCGGGATATCTGCGATTTAGTTTTTTTCCACAAATGTGTACTTGGGCAATATCACTTAAACTTAGACATGTTTGTTCAAAGAAAACCCGAGACTAAATACTTAATTAGATCGCATGATCCTAATAACTTTGTAGAATTTAAATGTAGGACAAATTACTTTTATCACTCGTATTTTCCTAGGGTTGTTAGAGCATGGAATACCCTTTCTAGGGAATTTAAAAAGACATATACTAATTTAGCTTTTAAAAGGGCTATTAAAGCCCATTACCTAACAAAGTCAGTGGCGTAACGGGAGGGTGTCAGGGTGTCCAGTGACGGGGGGCCCCCGAACTTTAGGGGCCCCCAACAAAAATGACCATAAAAAATTTGTTAGCACGTTTCTGGGGAATTGAATTCATTGAATTGAATTGAATTAAAAAAAAAACATTCTCTGGAAAAGGCAAAATCCGTGGAGAAATGCCTGGAGAATAGCCTGGAGCCTATTTTTAGTGGAGCAAAGGGGGCCCAAAGTGGCCGATTGACGGAGGGCCCCCAGCAGTTGCGTTACGCCACTGAACAAAGTTTGACTCCGCTTATGAATTACCAACTTGCACTTAGCTTATATAATGTGTAGAGGCGGTTCAACAGTATCTACACCGTCATGGCACTATCAGAACCGCATGTTTCATTTATTTTACATAAATCTTAACTGTATAGTTGTAGTCTACGGTAGTCCAGTTCAATTGGGGCTTTGCTCTTTTGGACAATCGTTCATCTGTTAATATTTATACGATGATAAAGCTATTAAACTAAAACTAAACTACACTAAACTACATTGAAAACCGGCATAGTCCTTCAGACTTGTATTCCCCCATGCACTAACCGATCAGGATTTTACAGTGATAAAATTCAAAAATATTCTACGAATTATTTATTCGAAGTGACCATACAGCAGACAGCCGCTTATTTATAGTGACTATAGTTAAAGTTGAATTTGTATAAGATAAACCGATCACAACGCCAAACCCTTCCCTAACCCTAACCTTTTGAGAATTAGAAAAGGCGGGGGAAGAATTTTTTTAAAAATTAAGAAACAAAATGCCAAGTCAGACAAAATACAACCCGACCCGGACTGCGTTTTACTTTCCGCACCCAGCGCCTTTACGGCATACGCTAACGGCAAGCTCGGCAAAAACTGGGCTGGCGAAAACAAACTAAGTTTTTACATTAATTCTATTGCTTATTAAAAAAAATTGTGTTGTCCAATCTATTTTCGTGTCCCAACGAAGCATTTACTTCAATAAATTTACCTCAGACCACACTCACGCGCTATCAAAACATTTTGCTATTGTCAAATCTATTTATATATGTCGTTATGTTACCTTCGACGGGAGTCGAACCCGCAATCTTCGGCTTAGGAGGCCGACGCCTTATCCATTAGGCCACGAAGGCTTACCATGATGGTTCAGGTACTGCCAAGTACCCAGGCGTCTCTTTGTAAAAAACAGTGATGCGCATAGGGCGAGTTTACATGAAGTATTGTAGTGGGGATAGATGGGCGAAGGGGCTGATGGGAAGAGTGCACTTGAACTGCGAGACGCCTGGCAGTTCTTGGTCGATTTCTTGCAAGAAAGTCGATTTCTTGCAAGTTGTGATATTTCGTAGTCGTTTACGATTTTTTGCTACTTGTTTTTGTTGAATTGACTAATGTTAATATTCTTCTGTCATCTGGACGTGAATTCATGCTGTTATTCTTGATATATATGACATATGCCTTATTTAAAGTCCATGGAAATTCCAATATTAACATGTCAACAACCGAAGCGTTGAAGAACTAGACTTGCAGGAACTAGATTTAAAAGCTATAACTAAATATAAAGGTACAAACTATAAAATTGCACTGTTGTAATAAATATTTCAAACTTTACGGCTGTTAATTTTTATTTACTTGGGCTTTTGTTTACAGTATACGTTTAATAGAAATTGCCATTGGCATTGTGATCGACTGATCGAGCCTTCAGCTAAAGAGGTTATTAATACAAAAGCAAGTATATGACTTTATAATCATCTCTCTGTTACTATTTTATACTAAGCAACTGATAGCATTCTATTATTCTCCAGGTAATACCGAATGACATAAATTATTCGAAATATTCGCACGGTAAACTTGCCATGAAACATTGATTGTCATTACATGGCGTTCTTTTTCAGCTTTCTGGCTTAGAAAGGAAGTGCGATTATAATGAATTTGCATTCTTGGTCCCCATTTCAAAAGGTTACATCATTTACTCATTATCAAATTTAATTAGGTGTCATAATGCCTGATTGAATTGAATTTACCTCCGACGTGATTCGACTGGAGGCAATCTCCTACTAAAGCCCAGTTTACGTGAGACCAGAACGAAGTCAAATGGTACCATTTCGTTTAGGTCACAGTATCATCCCCGAGCCGACGGCGCGAAGCGCCGTGCGAGGATACTAATCCCCCAGGCTATTTACACCAGAAAGCATTAGCGAAGTCTAAAGTTCACCAATGATCGCGGGCGTGGCTCACTGTGCGTGGGTGGTCATCCTCACTGATCTCAACAATATGGCGGACTGTCATGAATAGCGAACACTGTGATTGGTCCAATGTAAAGTTTGCATTAAAACGACTGCATGACGACAGCGAAATAGCAAACATTTCTTGATTTGATGATTGATAAATTTCATGCAAATATATTTCATTTTTGCTCGCATTTTTGCAAGATTTTGTAAATTTCAAGAAAGAAAGGGCGAAAGAATCAGCTAAAAGAAGGGAGCCGACGCGTTAACGAAGGTAAGTTTGTTTTAAATATTGATCTTATAATTGCTTTAAAACCCGACGGCCTTTGCGTATATGAAACAACTAAACAAGACAGCATATAATTTCAGTGTATCTTTAATATTGATTCCCTTTTTTATTATATTGAATTTTTTAAATAAAAAAGAAAGCAAAGTTATTTGAATGCGAGAATTTGAAATCATTTTATTGCAAACTCAAAGTTTATCGATAAAGCCATTTAATTAAAGGCAGCTTTATAGTTTGATAAAGAACACTTTAAAACGTTTTGCGAAGCGTTTGTGGTTGAATTTTACCTTAAATTAAACCTTAAATTAAACCGTTGAATTTTACCCTAAATTAAATTGAAGCTTATATTACGTACAATATCATACCTAACATATATATGTTGGGATATTGATAATTTTGTAATTAAAAGTGTTATTTTTAGGCGATTTTTCATTTGTAAGAATATTCTTAAAAATTATCGTGTTACCATGACAACTACTTTAGATACTTCATGTTCGGAAAATACAACAGTTTTGTCAGCAAGGCGAGGGTTTCTGCATGCATGTATTTTCTAGTTGATAATAGATGTTTACATGAGACCGGGGCGAAGATAACTCAGACAGGTCTCATGTCATTCTGCCTGCTGGCTTCAAACCAGCATAAATTCAAACAGCGATGAATGTAAGCACAAAATATTTCTGACATTGGAAAAACAAATGCTATCAAAAGCCATCTAAAAATAAATTGCCTGGGCCGCCTGGCAAGCGGAATAAATTGAAAATTTTGTGATTTTCGTACCGCCGGTCTCATATAAAAATGTAGACAAATTTAATTTCCTTTCCGGTTTGACTTCGTCTAGGTCTCATGTCAAACGGGGCCTTAGAAAGCCGACGCCTTTTCCGTTAGGCGACAAAGGATTATCGTTTGTATCAGGGCGCCTATATATAGGCGGCGCAACGCGAGTGATGTCGCTGATCGACGTGTGATGCGGGGCCTTGTAAACAATTTCCTGCACTACACAGTCAGCGGTAGGCAATCTTAACTTAACATTGCTCTATGCCTTAGTATGCATAGCAACAACGCTGTAATAAAAACACATTTTAAAAGTTGTGAAATTAACTTCGTTTCACCCAGTTTTTAACGTTGTTTGAACTGACTAAGTTGTCTCTAGCTTTTTTATTATCATTATCAAACATGAACTAAACAACAACAAATAAAACGAACGAAATTTTACTTTAATATCATGTTTATATAGTTTAATATACAGTTTGTAGTCGATCATATTATTGCCGATCTGAATTTTTGAACGTCGTATAAACCAGTAATCAGTATAGCCTTGACTTACTAGAGAACTTAGCACTAGAGTATAGCCTAGACTTTTACATCAAATAATTAGACATTTTTTCCAACACAGTTTAATCTTGCAGCCTTGTTCATCAGCACATCTTATTGTCTAAAACACAAGCATTCATGGAAAACCATGCGTAAATTAGTAAAAATATACAATACCCAAATCTATTTTATACCCAGTGTTATTATAATTATAATTATAGTATACAATAACTCTAACACTCTCGAAGGTTTCGATGAAATAAATTGATTTTGAAGTTTTTGTTTTAAAAAATAAGAATTTCCAAATTTTTCGGTTAAAACGTCTGACGACATTTTCACTGCAAAAGACTTTTGAATGTGCGAAAGCAATGTATATGATCAGCTTTTGCTCAATGTTCGATAGAAGAAACATCGACCTTCGATCGAGTACCCCAGATTACAAGTTAGATAGAGGGCAAGAATCCATCTCAAACTATTTTATTTCAACAAATATCGAACACCATACTTCTCGCCTAGCATCCAAAGAAGAACTACGGTGTTGGCAGAATTTTAATCTATAAAGCGCCCAGCATACTCTCAAATAACTAGGTTCGTGCTGCACAGAACTATGTGATAAATGTGCTCTGAAAACATATTAAAAATTCTTCAATACCTATGAAATTTTAGCCATACATCCACAGAACTAATGCAAATAACAGCCGGTCAAAATACTTCGTATTGTTTACATCATTCAAAATATATGTCCGGCAAAATTGGGAAAAACAGGGCCTGAAAAGGATCTTATTTCGGCCATGATGTCTTCTAAGAATCCACTTCGATTTTTATGAAAGATTCAAATACGTACACATAAAATAATGGA